CTAATTACTAAATAAAAATGTGTTCTGCTTTATCTTTAAAATATTGACTTCTTAATTTTGGGTTGGAAAATTGGGGGTTGTCTTATACATGGGGGCATCTTATAGATGGAAAAATACAGTAATTACAATGCAAAGCAGATCACAATCAATCACCAGTGCCCAAGTAACAATACAGTAATAGCTGATCAGAATACTATGAGGTAAGATCAAAACCATTAATACTGTAGCAGCAGCTACCTTGATCCCATTACCAGCTGAAGACAACTGGCTGTAGCTTCCTGGGAAAGCCCCCGGCATGTCTCTGGAATATCGCTGTAAATTTCAGAAAGCCATTTCTTTGAGACACTGCTGAAACATATCTCTCTTGGGACTTAGAAGCGCAATTGTGAAGGATGCTGGGGGCTATAGTTCAGCAAGATCTGGTGGGTCAAAGATTCCCCATCCAAGAATTAAAAGATGCTATTTATATTTTACATCAATTTTATCCAACTTGGAAGCCCTTCAGATGTGTGGACTTCAGCTCACAAAATTCCTCACCATGGCCATGCCAGAGAATATTGAGAGTTGAAGTCCACATGTCTGGACATTACCAGGTTAGGGAAGTCTTTAATAAACAAACATCTCAAATGTCATTTAAAAAAAAAAAACTAACTTAAACCTCTCTCACATCATCTGCCTGAAGTACAGAAGTGATCTTATTTAATTTTTTTCCAGTTGAAAATGCTTGGCTTTGAGTTAGTTGCACTGTTTTTTTTGTTATTGTTGCTAATATAATATTCTTGGTTCATATATTCAAAAGATAGAAGAGAAACTATATTTTATTGCCAGTTATTTGCTAAGAGTGAAGAGCCACATTAAACTGACTCTTAAATTAAGACTAATCAGATTAGTAGCAAAAGACCAGAGAGTTTCGTTTGAATGACGAGCAGGAAACCATCATAACCACTATTTTAAAAAATTCTGAGAATGTGCTCCAGGCTTAGAGCTTTCTTACAAATTAAACTCTGCATTATTTCTACCAATGACATTAATGTACCCATCCACTGATAGGCAACTTTTTGCACACTTTGTATTATTCTTCTATGATTCTGACCCACTCTCCTCTTCCTTCAATCTTATTGTCATTATTGCTCAGCTCCCAAACGGCTTGTTATTAAGTCTCAATAGCACTAAAGTGTTTATGGTAATGTCTTTGATGCTCACACTTAGAAATTAATAATATAAAATGGTATTTAAATTTGGGAAGCATTTAGACATCATTTCTTATTCAGTAGTTTTTGATAGGTTCTTCAGCAACTTGTTTGTGTCATAATTATCTGTGTAGCTGGATTTCAGACTGCAAATGTAGCTACAAGCTGTTTTTCATCATTCTTGGTATGGTTCAAATTTGCCGTTAATCAAAGTTAATTGAGTGATTTGCCTTTAAAATCAAAGATATGATGAAAATTTAAAGGCATTATGCATTTCGGTCATCATATGCCTCACTTTATACCATGTTTAAATCCCTTAGTTGTTCATGCAATGTCTTTTATTTAACAGCTTCTCCCAGATTTTAGTCCTGCAGCAACTTTTCACACCAAAGTTGTCAATATAGCTGTATTTCAATATTTCAATAAAGAACTGTTAGTATGAACTATTAACTATTTTGCTTTGTTTATATGCTGTTTGTCATATATGATGGCAGAGCAGCAATATTTTCAATCTGTGGCTTATTTGTTTTTTGAAACCAAATGAGATGAGAATTTAAAGGCATAATGCATTTCATTCAAGAACTGTAGGAGCACACTATTCAGTATTCAATGTGCTTTGATTTAAATATCATTAAAATCTGCCAAGCATTCAGGTATCATCTTGTATTGTACAATATACCCACACTTTGGTTTCACTCATATACAGTGGGGCAAAAAAGTATTTAGTCAGCCACCAATTGTGCAAGTTCTCCCACTTAAAAAGATGAGAGAGGCCTGTAATTTTCATCATAGGTATACCTCAACTATGAGAGACAAAATGAGGAAAAAAAATCCAGAAAATCACATTGTCT